AATTTTCCTTAGAGCACAGCCTTGAACGTTGTAACATTTAAGGCCTAAGTAAGATAAAAGGTTAGTGTTTCAATGATAAATTCTATGTACTATTACAAAATTGGAAAATGAAAACGCAGTGATTAAACTTACTGTTTTTTTTGTCTGAATTCTGCAACTGCTAAACGACAACTAACTAACTTACCAGTAGTTAAGACTTAAATTCTAGCATGCAGTGTTTTGTTCGGCTGTCCCAACAGACTGCGTTAATTGTAATGACCAAGTATTCACCAGAACAGTTAGGTTGAGTTTTACAACTGCTAAGGGAAGGAAAATGATGGCAGAAAATATATGAACTTTTTCACTTGCAGTATAAAGCCTTGTCAGAGAGGTGGATGCTGACCAAACATCAGCTGCCAAAGGCACATGTTAACCTTAACATTACTTAGTAAAATAATATTTCAATAAATATAGTTAGCAGCACCTGTGAGCAATATCAAAAGAATCCTGTGTTCTGATTGGCTGGAGGGACCATCTTGCCCATTAAACAAGAGAAAGTGTGAAGAGGACCAACAAAGTTTGTAAGTTTTTCATAATGTTGGTGATGAGTTGTGTTTTTATGGACCTGGACTGTCTTAGTCTATAGAAACACACAAAAAAAAGAACTTGGCCAACATTCAGTCAAGATGGCTGAACATTCAGCTCAAGATCACATGTGCTGTAATCTAAGAAATACAGGCATCCATGAGGATATCAAGTGATAAGTCAACAAAGTTTTCTGCTTGAGATCTTGTACTGATTTCAGGACAATATTCCACTGTCCAATACAAATGATCATTTACTGTGAAAATTTCATGTCCAGTGACAGAAGGCAGCTTTGCACTTTGTAAAGCAAGATATGCACCAGCAAATCTATGAGGAGATTTCATTTCTTGATCAATGGACAGAACTCCAAGATTTGTCAAGTTGAATAGTTCTTTCCGTTGTCCATATCTGATTTCAGTACAAAATAACTCCCATATTGACTGTACGTTCGCACATTGTAATTTCAAAACATTCATGTGCTCTCCTGAGTTGATTTTAAGGTGAATTTTTTCGGTGCATGTGCGAGAGAAATCCCAAAACTCCTCTGTTCCTGCAACTTCTAATTGAAGTGTGTCGAAACTTGCATACAGCCCAAACTCTTCTCTTCCAACTTGGGGCTTGCATTGTTTTCGGATGTCAACAGTATAATTACTGTCAAACAATAACGGGAACTTTCGTTCGGTTTGCTCCAGGTCAATGATTTGTTTCATGGCTAAGTGAGTTGCTGCAGTAATAGCGCCATGCACTGTACAACCATTGGCCTTACAGCAACTTACTAAAGCCATTGTTTGTTCTTTAGTTAAGCATCGAGGTATTGCGTGCGTGGTCCGTGCCAGTGAATCACGAACATTTGGAGGAAACTTTAATAAATATAAATTTGCCATCTTGGGTTTGCGAATCATAGCGCTTAGCTTACTGCACCACACGAACAGCGGAATATGAAGTCTTTCCAAGATATTTGGTTCAGTTAGATTCAATGTCATGCGCTCGAGTGTTGGACGAAACGCTAGAGTTTCAACTTTCATAGCCTTCCCGTTGTACAGTGCGCCTAGGAATTGCAGCAGTTTGTTTTCAAATTCAAACACAGATCGGGCATCGCAAATAATATGATGGAAAGTAAACAACAATGAATTTTTGTAGAGAATTCCTTCACCTTTGCGTGCAGTCGTCTCCCTGAGTAGTGTTACACGCCACAAAGGCCCTTTCTCAGTGTGAAATGGTGCACAATTGATATGTTCGTCAAACGCACTCATCCAGTTTTCTGAATCTACGTCCATTCTTGTTTGAAATTCCAAACTTTACGGGTCTTCCATCTCTTCAAAATATGGCTGGTTCAAATGATCAACTGTTACACGCATTCGTAATAAAGGGAATCGTTCGGACAACATCAGCAGGGCCGTCTTCAGATGCCCTACATCAAGTTTTATCCTCGATTCCAGCAGGAGCACAGTGTTAAGATAGCCAATGTTACTTCCGGAGGCACTCGCTAAGAAGTATTCTTCAAAGGAACCAAGTCGACGAGAAAGCTTTCCAGTTGTTTTGTGAAAAATTTCTTCATCCCTCCGATGCAATAGATGGTGACGAATCAGGCACGCAATGCCCACTGCAAGAACGACTGAACAACATAAAACAAGAGGTGAAAGCGACGGGAACACTGAGATTAACATCGTCAACGATCCCATTTGAATCTCGGGTGAGACCTAATTTAGCAGTTAGAAGCGAAATAGTTTTTAAACCCCTGATATGAACTTAGCGTAGTATGTCACACCCTTTAGAGGTCATAAGATACCAGGAAATCCTCATCATTTGGAGCAATCTCGAGCCCAGGGTCATTTTGGCTCCTTGTCAGCGGAATGGTCAAATTGACATTGACAACCAATTGACATTTACATTTCGGTGAGCATACCGCTGACAAGGAGCCTAAATGACCCTGAGCTCGAGATTGAATTTCGAGATACAATTTCGGCGGACCTGAAATAATTAGTAATTCAATAGGCCGTATTTCGAATTGTTTTGGTGAAAACGTCTGTTGACTATTTACGAGAACTAAGTCAAGGGTTATTCAGAGCGACTGTTTGTAAAAAACGCTTAAACCTCAATTATTTTATGCAAGTTTCCAGTTGAAGAGCGTACTTTGGTGGCTCAGAAGAAGGTGGCAAACGGGGAGTTCCAATCACACATCACGCTGAATTTTTCTAAATCACGCATCACGGAAAAAAATTTTTTTAACCAATCACACGTCACATGAAAAGGAGTAAGTACGCTAAGCTAATACTGTAAAATTTAAATCTATAACGGATGTATAATTAAAGATTATATTGCATCCAGCGTTTTTTATCCTGGAATGAATAGCGTATCACTTGACTTTCATGTTGCTTTTTGCTAGACATTGAAGTAAAGACGACTTACTTGTTGAAACTAGACGCTCCGAGAGCGTTTACTCGGGCTTCGTATTGCAACATCAAATAGTACTTTGCAAGTATCAAACACAGAAAAAGAGAAATTAAAGAATCAGGATATTTAATACAAGAGTTAAGCTTACGTATTTACTATTTGAGTTCATCAATAGTTTGTTGTTTGCCTCACCTTCGAAGGCTGTTCACGAAGATTTTTTATTTTTTCAATTCGACACCTGAGGTGTTCGTCTGGGCGTCACAGTCATCATAGTTTGTTGTTTAATAAGTCAGTAGTCGTAGTTTTGACAGTGTTTTCGTAGTTTGAACTCATATATGGCACATTGGTTATCTCGCGAGTACGAACTTTGCTAGTTTGCTAGTTTGGTCATGTTTCAATTTGCGGCCACCCGTGGCTCCAAGAGGCTTGCGTACGAATTGAGTAGTCGTCTACGCCACCTTTACTATTTTTTGATACACGGGCAATATTTGTGTCAAAGCTTTGCCCAATCCCCTTCTGTACGCCAACTGTCTTCATGTCAGTAAAGGGTATAACGTGACTTTGAATTCGTTTAGGTCTTTATGACGACCTTGAAAAAATTTTGTGTACCACTAACTGGTACACAAAATTTTTCCTTGTGTACTGGCTCATTACTTACATTATCATTTTCTCGGGCGGCATAAAATGACACCAAAACTCTAACGTTTGGGTCGACATTCTTTCACATCTTTCATCCGATGGATTCGGATACGGATACTTTCTGGTCTTTCTGGACACGATCTGACGCACTACCATGACCAGGCGGTCAACAAAAATAACACTGAAGGTCAAAGTCCTTGTGCAGATGTTAACTATATTAACCTATGTCCATTGTGTTACGACTGTTAAGATCCACCACGAAGATCAAAGACATTAAAGGTCAAGCAAAGGTCAGCATAGGACAGCAAAGGACGGAAAAGAACAGAAAACAGTGTCACGGCTGCCACGGTTTATTGATCTTTGTTAAGACTCTATTTACTTTGAATGATTGGTATCCTTCTAGGTCGAAGAGCGTTCACTTATCTCGGAAATCTAATTTGTAAGTCTAGTAAATCACGAGTCACGCGCTTGTAAAATAGCAAATCACGCATCTCGTTGCGATGTCCGGTCCCGCGTCACGCGGATAGTGGGTTCAATCACGCGTAACGCAAAAACCCTTTGCCACCCTCTCAGAAGAGTCGAACACAAAACATTTACCAGAATGCAAATCAGTTTCACAAAAACACTGTTAATTTATCAAAACTAAAATGACTTTTCCAAAGCACAACTCAACTTACTAAAACACAAATCTAACCTGTTTGTGATCAACATAACTTGATAACGTCAAGAAGCCAGAGCGAGTGGCATCCAAACTCGAGATAACTATAACTAAAAAATGCAAGTACCTTTGATTGGAGAAAACTCAACCTCGTTCTCAAGACTTTTCACCTCCGCGCCCCCCCCTTCACCACTCCCTCTAACTTCATCCCAGAAATTGGAAGGATGGAGAAAGAGAAACACCGAGAAAGATCAAGAAACAGTACAATTTTGCACTTCTATGCCAAACAAAGTCCCTGCTGATTCTTGAGAATCGTACATTTCATATTTCGTGGTCATTTTAGAGACCTCTATACAACGAGTAAGTCCAATAGATGACTAACAAAGCGAATTCCAAATATGTTATACAATATGGATATGTAAATGGACAGGAGCAATAAACTCCTGAAATGGATTAATGAAGTAAGAGCGCTTATGATAAAAACAAAATAGGAAAGCGCACACTCCCAAGCGTTCCCCCGCTGCTCTCCTGACACCTATTGGCTAGTAGCGGTTACGCTTGACCTTCTATCGTATTTCAGACCATAACAAGTTTAGGCATGCTCATTCGACTGAATACTTTTGCACTGGTCTGGAACATTCTCAAATGACTGAGGACGTATAACTTTGCCGCCTTTGAACCTGCATTGTGAAAACATTCCTGAGAGTGTTTGAAATTCAGCGGTTTTCAGGTCAGTAAACAAATGCCCAATAAGAACATGTATTTCCAAGATTATTGAGTGCAATGAAGTATGCGTTAACTTTTGCCTAAAACCGACAGTCTCAGAAGCTTGCCTCCTTTGATTTAGTGATGACTAACTTTGGCAATGCAGATGAATGTCACAAGACACGAAGGAGGTATTATGCAACATGAAATCTTATCGTACAAATTCGAGATGATACATTCAAACCAGACAGTCTCAGAGTGGTATCTGTTTTAATTCAGTAATGATTGTTTTTTGCAAAACAAAACCATGTCACAAAAGATTTAGGAAGCCTTATTAAGATTGAAAATTTAGCGCTCTAAGTAGGTTTACCGAAGGTTTGACTTCTCTGTGATAAGAAATGTTACCAGATCAAAATCAAATCGTCGGAGTTTCTTCATCCATCGAAAGTAACTTTCTAAGTTGGCAAAACTTTACAATCATCGTCTTTACTCCGGGCTAGACTAAACTTGGTCACCCTAAATTGATGAAAAAACATTTCACGGTGTGTCAGAAAAATTCATAGAATAATTAATCTAGCGCGGCATTTTGAACTGATCCTGACATTTCACTTTCTAATATAGTTGACGCAGCTTTTCTAATATTATGATTTTTGAATTTAAAAAACGTCCCCTAGGAAACTCCTCCAGGCAGATACAATAGTTCTGTTTGAGTCTCTTTTAGCATTTATGAGGAAAATTATATATTCTACTTGATGGTCTATTTTTAAAAGTTGTATCGATTTCTTTCCTGTTTTAGTATTAATTAAGAATTACAAATAGAGACACGGCTCATATGCAAATGATGATATTTACTGAAACGAGAACTTTTTTGCGTTAGATTTTATTTATGTTTTTCCCCGAGGCAAAAGATCAACTGTGAGAATCAAATTTAACAAAAACAAACCCACTTTCTAAGAAAATGTGGGCGATTTTGTATCATGAACCCTTCGGACGAATGAAGCTTTTATCTCGCGCTCCTAGATTCTCTGTCGTCTCGCAAAGCAAAACGGGATGTGTTGTTTCGACTCAATCCGTCGTGAGCCTATATCTGCATCCGTTATATCATCTCACCTACGTCTGATGATAATTTTCAATGCTCTCTTGTAAGCAAATTTTATAACATGATGCGATAGAGCTTCATGTCAGCTTACCGTGTTTTAAGTCTAAAAATGGAGTATAAAGCAAAATTTTGGCCTGAAATCAAACCTTCAAGAGGTGACATTAAAGCTAACTATCTCTTATCTCAAGACAACCGTCGGTTTTAAGTGGCTCTTGACTTGAGGGGGCACTGTGATATTCGCTCGTATATCATCCTCGTCTCTATTTCAAGACTCTTCAAGCTCACCAAGCAAATTTTACCAAAATGGTTCAGTTAATCGAATTGAAACCCTAAAAATTCTAATCCAAAACGGTTTGCGTTAGTCCTTACCAATCTTTGAAAAACCGCTCCACATTCGATCACGTGACGCGTTGAATGGACCAGAAATTCCGCTTACACCGTATCAGCGAAATACAATCGGAGAGGCCGAAGGGTTTCCGATTTGTGATGGCCGAGGGAAAGGCCGGAATAGCTGAGGTCGAATGGCGCTATCTAGCGGAAACGTACTCAAGATATTGCACATCTAGAAGAGGGAACACTTGAATGCTAAATGAGGGTCATGTATCTGTTATCAGAAGTTATTAAACCATTCATTTTATGTCGTTCACACCCCATCGCCATTGCGGAAAACTACGAACGTCCCGGCAACGAGTCGTGAAATTTTGCATTCTTGCCGATCGGGCGGGGCGGGCGATGTCAACGCCAGAGTCATAGCTTTTATCTTTTTTCATCTCTAAAGCCAAAAAAACTGGAATTCAATTAGCTAGGAATCCTCTTCTTATTTTAACTGTTGATGACAAATCAAGAGAATATTCTTTTGGGATAAATATAAGCCTTTGTTTAAAAAAAAAACAGATGTATGTTTTCGTCCTGTTACACGCTTTGACCGAAAAAAAATTCTGTGATCTCATGTGGAGTTGACTGTACCTCACGCCCTCGGATTTCGCGTTCTGATGCCCTACCACAAACTCTATTATTCACCAGGTTCATATCTGTTAACTGAGTTGATAATATAAATCGGCCACCGTAAAATGATTTTCTAAAGCTGACGTTACAAGCGTTAACGAAAAAGCGTATTGTGAGAAAATAGAATAATAGAATAATTAGGAGGTAGCCGATGAAATAACGAAACATGTTTTGTTTCCTTTATAATTCCCTAACAGGAGAGCTTTGACAATGACTTTCTGTTCTCTATTTTTAACTAAGTATTACCACATACTTGGATGTCGGAAAGTTGTATCATATGAGACGGAAACCACCGATTTTCAAAACGAAAATCCGACTTTCCACGCACTGTTGAGTAAGTTTCAAAGACTTCTTTAGTTCGCGCCATTAAAAAATTCTTATGCGCTCAAACGTCAACCCTAATTACAGTTCAAAAACACCGAAAATCTGCTCTTTAAGTGATCAATTCCGTTAGATACGAACTATGGCTCATTCCGGTTCGTTAGCGGAGACTATGAAAGGTTGTACGGTAATCTATTACGCCAACGTGAACAAACAACAATTAAGCGACACACACTAGCTGGCTGTTCAAACGATTGTTATGAGATAATAGTTTGATAAAAGCTGTTTTTTTTTCAACTCGGTATTTTTTAAGCCCAGTCGTATATCTGGCAGAAACTGTTATCAGATATGTAACTGGCCAAATCTTATCGCAGTCGCGTTAGGAAGCATTTTCCAGTCTTCACCCGGTGCATGCAAACAATTTTTCCAATGCCATTAAGTCTTCCATCTATTTCCCTCGTCAAATTCAAAGAATCACGCATCAATATCATACTGTCGTCTTAAAATAACTGGTTGGTCAAGTGGAAAGATCTCAATTCCAGAACAGATTACCTCCCTCTGTCATTAGCGGTCGACCAAAGACAAGTAGAAACCCCAGCTAGATATCAACTTGGCGGCGAAGGGTCCGATATCAGCTTTGATACCTATTCAGCCTAAGGTTTTATTTTACCACAAAGTCAATTAGTCTAAAAACGCAAAATTTCGTGATCTATCTCAAACGGATTGTTGTTTATTGAGGTCGTTTAGGTCTTTTGTCAACATTTCCAGCGCATTCGTAATAGCCTACGTGACGTTCCGGGGGTTTCAGTCGTCGGTTTGGCAAATTGGTTCAGGAAATTACTCCCGCCTATGGGTTCCTTGTACGCGAACGCTACAGCTTTCTGGCACTGAAAAGATTTATCATTCTAGTGTAATTTTCTAGAGGTGATCTAAACGTTTGAGTCCACAAAACACTTAAAGAAAACGTCATTAAGGCAACGAAATGAAAGAAATTTGAGGTAAGTTCAACAGCTATAAATGAATAGCGAAGGTGTAACTTTTGTTTAAAGCTAAAAGGGGAAAATAATGTCGAATCGTTTTTAATTACACACTTGAGTTGAAGACATGGATTTTTTGGATGGACTTTCTTGTAATAGGCTTACATTTAAAACGTTTCGTTTGTTTTCAAGGCTTTTCTTGTGAATACAGCATAACGACTTGACAATTTTATTTCAACATTGAATATCACTGAAGAATTTGTTGACAAAAAGGGAGTTTTAGGTCGTTATTCAGATCAGTTGGAAAACTTTTTGTGGGTTCTGACATGAAAGTAGGAAACGGTTAATATGCGTGTAAAGAAAACATCATGCCGCATTAAAACACGACTACAAAAAACTACAAACAAACAAAACGTGACCTCGATCAACTTTTTGTTTGCTCCACTTATGGCCTACCAATTCGAACGCACGAGAAATGTTAATGAGGGCTGATGCTATGAGTTATCGCAGGCCGGGGTTATATTAAACGTTATAGGTCCTGCATGCGAATTAAAAATACGTCGAAAAAATGCCGGCTAAAGGCCTACCTCACCAGGAAGTGTAGACTGCTAGATCTAAACAGGAGTGCGTATAAATAATCTGTTTTTTTTTTTTCATATAATATTTGACAGGGCTGTAAAAAAAATGAAGTTCAGAAATGTTGGTGGTAGGCGGTGTTCAGCACTGACATGACCCCTTCCGGTTGACCTCGAGTAAACAAGCTACTTTAGGATCAACACCCTGGTGTTGTTTCTCTTGAAAAGGCTTAAGCTGTTTTAAGACAAAGAAACAAAGAAGACGTTTGTAGTTTACGTTAAGCAAATGTGGAAAGTTTTAAATCCCTCTCACCAAAATCAAACTAGCCCTGGCTTAAATCATGCAATTTTGCAAGAGAAAGACGACTTCATCATGGGTCTTCTAAGCGTATTTTATCGTGAGAAACGTGTATTCAAGTTTTTTTTACATTTTTTGCCTTCAACTTTAGACGCCGAGGGCGAAATATATATGCATTAATTGCCAAAGTTTGTTCTCTGTTCGACGTCGATAAGTATTGTTGAAAGATCACCTTCTCATAATCATGTCATCAGTTAATTGCGGATGCAACGTGTAGCTGTTCTGGAAAAAGTTTCCTAAATAGTCATCCTTTACAGCTCACACAAGTTATGCAAGAAACTTGGTCGATGTCAACGATGCAGAGTAATCTAAGACACAGAGATGAGTATCAACTCGTACCTCGAATTACAACTTATAGAGTTCTCACTGCTTCAGCTGAAAATCCCAATAACGACTTATCATAACTATATTTCTAAACAAACATTGGTGCTTCCGTCCTCCTCCGGCAAAAATGTTGCGTCCAAGCCATCGGATGCCTGATCCTGAATCGCTCATTTTGGAACGATTTTAAAGTATTGTTTTTTTCAGACTGTTTTCTGCCAGGGCATGTACGTCGATCTGCTGCTTTCATTGACTCCATTCGGCGATACATAAATACCTGAAATATCTTTTTGCAGATTATTGACACAATCTCAAAAAACCCAGATCATATATAAAGTTATCTTTCAGCGCCATGTCTAGCCTTACAAGGGAATCAAACGATTCTTCCGCTTTCAATTACGATGAAATTTTTTCCAGCAGGACATGACGCTATTTTATCGTGAAATGTCCAACGGTATTTTATCATGTAATGACAGGCTTTCTTTGCTCTGTCCGACTTCGTGTCTCGTGGATTTTTTCCCATGAAGTAACATGAAAAGAGGTCACTTTTAAGCCGCTTTCACTTGAAAATCACCATCAAAAATCTTAAGTCTGCCGATTAACTCTCAGTTGGTCAGAGGGTCTCCAGAGTTTCTCATCAGAGTTTCACCTCCTTTCCTTGTATGTGTGAAAGCCGGTATTGTCAAAATAAAAAAACAAGAAAGAGAGAAAAACATACTTTTTACTGACGTGATCTGGAGCAGTTGAAACCGGCTGAAGGTAGGAACTCTGGAATTTTTTTCCCTAATTTTTAAGATTAAATATGGTCAAACCGCACCTTCATGCGTAAAAACTGCCTCTTGCTACAAAAAAAAAAAAAAGACCGAGCAAAATTGGACTCTTTTGGTCTTTGTGTTTGCTTTTTTGCGTTGAAAGTCTTAACTCCTGCGGTGGTTAGCCTTGTACGAGCGGAAATAAGCTCTTGGGACTAACTTCGTGCAGCTAAAATCCTCTGCTGGCAACTGCACTAAGAGGGTTCAACCATCCTAAACAACTTCTATCTTAAGTGGTTAAGATAAGTTCTCTTTGTATTCATATCAAAATTTTCACGGAAGGTTAATCACCTCCTCCATGGTTCTCAGACAATAATTGTTGATGCATTCTCTCGATGCGCAAGAAGAACAAGGCGTCTTTCATGAGTACTAATTTACGTCGATGTCCTCTATACTTTTCTTCTGGCAACGCACACAGCACATTTTAATTGGATCATTTGCGGCCACCAGCAGTCGCCAAACGCAAGGTCACCGCTGACGCTTTATCATCAAGGTCACCATCAACTACCTTGAATTTTATATCTGACATGTGTCCAAATACAAATGGACAAAGAAATAATTTCGAGTCCTCCTTAGCAAATAACGATCTTTCGTGCAATCACCACTAAGCCAACAACAAACTGTGATCTTAAGTCGAGATTAAGTTGAACAGATCAACAGAATTACTGACAATAACGCGTGTGCTTTCCACAAAAACCTTAAAACACTTGCGTTACAGCGACGAAAGATTGAGTTTATTTTTTGACGTCATCAGACGTCAACATTTTTCATTTGTGTACCGTGTTGTATTCTTTTGTCCGCTCAATCACACGACACAGGAAAAACAAACAAGCGTCTTGATTTGCATTCTGGTAATAGCTTAATTCAACTCTCCATCTGATAATACGTATAATAGAGCATGTGAGTTGGGGGAAGCGGGCTAATATTCAGACAGCTGTTACTCATACTCCGCTTTCTCGAACAGGGGTCAACATCGAAGGACATCAATATGGCCACACTTGAGCAACTAAACCACCAAGAATCCCTTCTCAAGCAAAAAGTAAGTGCAATTCCTTTGTGTTAGCAGTAGTCAATCGTTCGTGTGGCTGAGAATATTTATATGTACTGCTATCGATGGCTACAGGCGATCAACAAGACCTGATATATAAACTTCCAAATTTCTTGTTTAGAACAGGGTATCGTTAGAACCGCGTGAGTTGCAACGAAATTTGGCAGAATATTTCCACGAAACCATGTGCTGACTTATATTGAAGGAAATTTAAGTCGAGCTACTTTGTCGAGGGTTTATACTTGACTGCACATTACTGAGTTGGAGGCCTTAGCCGCAATTAGGGTAAAAAGCATACCATTCTATCAAAATATGTTATGTGCACAAATACCATATTTCATTGGGAACGTAGCTCTCAGCAATGTTAGTCTGTATTTTGCGTTATTGTCCAGTGAGGCTTTATAACACCGTCTTCCGATAACCACTATCTATTAAGGTTACTCTAAACAAAACGGACACGAAATAAACTTTAAAGCGCCGCACTACAAGCGGTACTCGCATCGCTGGATTGCCATGACTGCCACCATTCCGTTAGATCGTGTTTCATCGTTCTGTGAACTTCTGTTTTCTCCGGTGAAGAATACTGAGACCCTGGTGACAAAACATGATAATGGTTCAGAACAAATGCTGACCCACGCTGCGAAGCAGTTATTTAGATTAACATACGACCTACATTGCATGTGATATAAAATGAATTATCTTTTACTACCAGTTTCGTATGGATCGAGTGTCGTTACACTGCAGTGCGAGTTATTTGAATTGATGTTATCGTTTGGTTTTGCTAGTATTTCTTTTAATCAAAGGAATCAAGGTTTATCGCTTAATTAGGCTCATCTCAATGTAATTGTGCAAATGTTGATTGTTCATTTTAAATTTCACAGTTTTTTCTTCAGCCCAAAGTTTCCATGTCTTCTTTGCATTACAGTGCAATCCGATTAAATATTAGAGTCGACGCCTCGGTAGAATTCTCTAATCCAAATTGACCTTGGTGTGGTACTTTCAGACGGTTACCGGTCTACGCGGCTTCGGTGAAAAATTCCATCGCAAGAGGTTGAACTCATTGTATGGTTAAGTGTCACTTAGGAATCGAATATTAAACCGCGTCAATTTGCATTATAAATTACCACGCGTATTGTGTGCGCTTTGTATTGAAAATGTCTCAAACAAGAAATGTTTTCAGTCTAATTGGCGCATCTATCATTTGGTGAATTTTGCATCAGATAACGTTTAATAATTTGAAGAACTCGCTTCTATGCCCTCTGGAACACTCGTTATGCAATCTTGATCTTTGTCTTGAGGAAAAAAGCGCCTTTGTCGAGAAACCATTTAGGATTTTATTGAAATGCGCTCATTTTGCGCAACACGCAATGAAGGATAAATGAACTATTTTTGAAAATGCGAGCTAATCAAAGGAAGAATAAATAACAATGCTTGAAATTTTTGTCAAGTGCCTACATCAGGAATCTTTAGAGAATAAAATGCTGCAGGGTATATATAACAGCATGTTGGATTTGGATTAAAAAAAAACTAAATTGAAAACCTCGAAAAGATTTCGCAGCCTTGAAAAACAGACGACTGCCTTTCTTACATACAGTTTATTTACTTTTAGCAGAATAATGTTTACTTCTTGCTGGGTCCTCGTTAGGAAGTGTAAAAAAATATATATGGGTGTGTAATAACTACTTGTTTTGACCGCTGTGAATGATGTAAAACCTAAGTGTGTTTGGAACTGCTGTGGTCAGGCTTGACTGCTGGGGTTGAATAAAAGAGTGCTATAGACCCCCGCAGTTGCTTCAAAATCACATACCGCATTATACTTCAATATACTCGCTAAAGGACCGATTTACTGGAGTGTGACGAAGTTGCGTCTGCGAAAACTCTCTTAAACACTAAACAACATTAAAGATAATCACGGAATCCGATTGACCAATATATTCCTAATTATTTTTCACTGAAACGTGTTTATTTTGCATCTTTGTGCCATTGCATTTATTACATGGTACAAGTCTTATTTAAGATATATCTAATTAATATAATTTGAGATATTACTTATAAAGCATTATAATTCGTTTATTTCCCAATAATCCGTGATATGGTATATTATTTCGTATAATCTCTCTTCAAAGCTCGTCTCTGACTAATCCTTCCTTTTCTTGACCATTAAAGGCAATAAAATATTTTTGAGACACACTGATTTCACATTAATAGAAATATTTTGTTACCGTCGTTACCTCTGAAGCTAACCTTTGTAGATCATCACGAAACTCCTGCGAAACCATTGCAATACTGCACCAAATTGGAATCGCCAAGGACACTTTTTGCCCGAGAAACCTCTCAACTCTCTTTTAAAAGTTTGCAAAAACTCTTCGATTGACGTCGGTGAAAAATATATTTTTATTCAAATTTAATGAACAGGTCGTCACTTAAATTCTTGGGAATATTCTGTAACTGATATCATTGTAAAGTCAACATCTAGAACCATCGGAGAATTGGTGCAACTAAAACTATTAGTTATCAAGCGAAAGAATAGGCTGGCAAACGGTAATATGAATGATAACTATATTTTGATAAAGATTAGCACAAGTCAGTCTGGTTGTAATAAGGTACTTCGAGCCTTATTCTGAACTGATCTTGATCGTATCGCACATGTGGGGCCCTTCTCACGTGGAATTCTATGTAATAGTCACTGTCGACTGTAATAGGTAATCATGTCAAAGAAATTTGCTGTCAGCACCAAGAGAGCGAAACGTGTTCGTAGCATTGCTCCGCAACTTCTCTCTTAAGAGAGCATTTTTACAGTAGTTAGTGAAATTTGGAAAGATTTCGAACTCTTGAAGATTTTGTCCGGTAGAGTTTAGATCAATAAACTGGTGCTACTATGATGAAAACATAACAGCTTGGAGAGGTTGTTGGTTTCGAGAAAAAATGGCGCTGTGGCTAAATGCGAGTTGACATGTAAATGTTTATTTATAACTTCTCGATATCTGGGTAAGACAATTTTCCGAGAGTGATCAACTCAATGATCAACATTGCTTCGTTTCATCAGAAATGTTGTGTGCTATTTTCATTTCGGTGCTAAACTTAGTACTTAATACATGTCAGAGCGCCAGTTCACCAATTTACCACGGGACATTACTGGAATTCAAGCAATTAGGAGTATTTTGGAAATTATAACGGAAACATTTTAACTATTTTTAGTGATTAACATCACGCTTAACTGGAAAGAAGTAATCTGTCTTTCCGAGAGAAGAAAAATCAGTTCTGGCAGAACAGGTTCTGATAAACCACGCTGGAACAACACTTCTTAAGGACTGGGAATATCATCAAATGTTGTAAAATAACGGGTTTGGGAAGTTTCGAGAGGAAGTTTTGATTCAAAGAGGTTGTTAGGTAGCTCCTGGGGTGTATTAAAACTGACAGTTTAGCAGACCTCCGTTGTAGCTTTCAAAACGCGCAGGTGAATTACGTTTTGTGGCCAAAAATGTTTAAATTTCACCTCTCACGTCTAACTCTATGCTGTTACAACAATCTGGAAATTTTCACCTTGAATCCTAAGGTATGGAGAAAGCGCCAGGAACGATACATAAATATTAGCTTCGAGTAGGGTCCTTAAATCCTTTAACCCCTAAGAGTGACTGGCATCCAATTTCTCCTTGCAATATCGTCCCTGAATCAAGCAGTAAGGCCACGAGAATAAAGGAAATTATCACTAACTAAAGAAGCTCTTGATTGTTAAACAAATTCTCCTTGTCAATGCCATAAGAAATGTCTAGAAAAAAGTATAGAGAATATGCCTACTGGTGTTGGGGTGTAAAGGACTAACCTTTGTCAATTCTCCCCATTCGCTGCTACATATTTCCTTGTGACGTAGTTACGAGAACTTTGTTTTAGATCAAGGTAACAACTTCTACCTGATCAAACTGAGTATCCGTATCACCTGTTTGCTGAATAATTAACATTTATTCCATAAGCGCGAGTTGGATTTGAGATAAATGGCCAACAAGGCGTGTAGCGCCGAGTTATCTCCAACCAATTTCGTATTCATTAAGTGAGAATGGAATAATTGATTCACTAAATTTCATGAAATCCTGGACGTATCGATATTTAGAGCTTTTTTTCTGCTCCAAAACAGTTGGCGCAATGCGTTTCCATGTAAGGTGACTTGGAAAATGAGCTGATAACCGGAGTCGAGTGAACCAATCATAACACTAGAAATGCAATATTTGGAGTATGGATATTTTAGGGAGAAGTCGAGGAGTATATGCAAACACTTTAAATGTAAATGCACAGCTCAGTTACCTCCAGAAATACGTGATTCTTACAGAGTTTGGTAGGTTTACCGAAATTTGTTTTTATTTTATATGGCCACGAAAGGCCAAATAATTTTCCACAAGAAAGTGCTGATTAACACATCAATCCATTGTTGTTGTTTTTTTTGCAGCTCGAAGGAACAAAAAATATCACAGAACGAAGGAAACTCCGAGCGGAATTGCGATCTGTGAGGGACCAGAAAGAACAATTGACAGATGTTAATGCCAACGACACGAGAACAACTACCATGTCGTCAAAATTTACTATGTCCGTGAATAGCACAGAAAAAAGGAAGTACGAAGAAAGAACCATACGCGTTAACAGAGAAGAAAGTCCTGCCAGGAAAGAAAACGTTGCCCCACAACAGCCTAGAAGTGCACGAAGCACGTTTAGTTTTAAAATGACAGATAAAGACGAAGACAAAAGCGAAAGCCGCCAGGCGGAAAGTAGCTCATGGAGACGTCAGACCAATCATGTGAAATCCAGCGTTGACGAGAAACGACCGCGGAAAGACCAAGACCTCAACAACAACACTGATGTGAAAAAGGCCGATAAAGAAACAGAAGTTCCGAAAAGAGTCTCGCGGAGGTCATCTTTGGCAGAATTGTTCAAAATTGAACATGAAGGGAAAAACAGAGAGCCAAAACCTACAAATCCTACCCCACCCCCACAAGCGACAGTATCCTCGTCACCAATGCTCAAGCGTATGCCTATGGAAACTCATCAGGATACGAAGACCAAGCAAGACTTGTTACAGAATCTAGGGCGGCTTCGTGGCCGGCGAAGGTCTGTTCGTGAGATCGAGAGGAAGGAGGAATTGGAAGGGTTGATGTACGTAAAGAGTGGCGACACAGTTAAACTAGTGAACACCTCACAAGGCGATGAGCAGGTTAAAGAACAGAGAAAGGTTCGGCGCTCCTCGCGGAAAGAGAGCCATGAAAAGCTGAAGGTCGAAGGAAACACTATCAGCAACCGCAACGAAACGGAATTATCGGCTATCCAGGAGAGCCCGCGATCTCCAAACGCAAAGAAACGATTTGGATTTGGCGATGAAGACAACGCAGCTCCAAAGAGGCTGGAAACTCCCCTTCAGAAAGAGGAAGCTCCCAAGGCCAGAATCTGGCAACCCCCTCCACGCGCCAATACAAATGCGGAATCCAACCGCCCTGGAAGGCAGTGGTCTGATCCAGGCTCTCAGCGGGTTGGGCCTCCCAGGCCTAATTCATTCTTACCACCTAAAGCTAATGTAAGTTGCTATGTTTTGGATTTTTTTGAGACGGTTTTTTTTCGCCCTCTTAATGTATGAATACGGACCAACATTAGCCTCTTGTAAGTTAAAATTTACCGTCGGCTTGGAGATTTACAAACTAAAGTTTTGAAGTATTCCTGGATAATAGTGCACTGTCAAACTTTAGTAATGTAAGACTTCAGCCGAGAAGACTTCTTATTACAGTATTTTAAGTTGTTTTTTCCCAAGCGTGCGAACAGGCCAACACAATAAGCGCGTGGCAAGAGTGTTTCTCCGCCCGCGAGAAAGTACGAGGCCTTGAGAACGCGTGACAGCGAAAGATTTTCAAGAGGTCTAGTACTAATAATGAGGGACTATTAGTGCCAAACCCCTGGACTCGTCTCAAGTCTTTCCCGCGGGCATAGAAACGCACGGTCTGAAGCGCTTATAATAAGGGCCTGATCGCAATTTTGCTGAGTTAAAAAGCAAACGTTGAAATCAGTGATAACAATAGCAGTAGTAATAGTGTTGTTGTTGATGATGATGAAAGCTGATACCTGCGGGCTTACTATAGATTCTCAGGCAAATAAGGCTAAAATCGTTATTCAGGGTGTTTCCAAAACGGTGCTGTGTTGCTTTGGTGACATATTGCATCGAGGAATAGAACTTATATTGTACAACGATCACTGAGAACTGGCGTCATGGAGTTCATTTTAGGAGCAAATGCCGAAAAGGTCTGATCAGATTCTTCGAACAATGGGAACCGAAACAAAAGGAAATCGCTTTTAATAATCTGAAAAAAATTAAAGTTACCATGTATGTTGAAAAAAGAATAAAAACTGGGCCAAAGAGATGTTCACCTTATGTGTTTTTGTTGTTTTTTTTAACGTCGATTTTTTTTGTTCACGCAGGAGCCTCCTAAGTTTGGACGGCCAGGAGGAGGAGGAGGAGGAGGTGGCGGAATGGGCTCGGTGAAAGATCGTATGGCCTTCTTTAGAAAAGCTGCCGAGGACGAGAAAAAGGCAAAGGAGAAACAGTTCGTAGCTAAATCCCCAACAGCGCCTGTCAACAGGTTTACTGCCCCTTCACCCACCAGTCCTTCAGCCCCGTCACAAACAACGACGACGCCTGCCACCACTCCAACAAGCCTAACAGAAAAAGTCTCCCTTAAGAAGGCTCCGGATCCGAACAAGGCGTACGTAGGAACGTTTGATTACTTTACAATTGAGGAAGGGGATGGGAACGTTTGAAACCTTTACCACTCACAGTGCTACTGATTTAAAGTACATTAATACATTTCAGACGGCCTAAAAGTCGAGCTTTGACAAACGCAATTCGGTGATTTTGTAGTGATACTGAGATCTTCTCTTAACTTAGGGCCTAGGTTTGGATGTTTATTGCGCTCCATTAGTGGGTCGTTTTCGAGTATGCATCGTCGTCGTTCTACTTCCGTATTTACATTTCAGAACATTTTCGCGGTTTGGTCACAACGTCTGCCAAATTAAATCTGTGTCCAACTGCAGTGCTTGCATAACCTAACGTACATAATTGGTGGTAGTGAATAAGTCGAAATTTTACTCTGGACGTGTATTTTTGGCGCTTTTTTTAACGGCTATTTCAATTGGAAAACCAACAAATTTAAGGTTTTGCATTTCGAAACCTGTTTTACCCTTATACCATTCCTTGTAGTGCTTGAGGATATGAAATATTCATGTGAGTGTTTTTTTTTGTGTGTGTGTTCTCTGCCAGTCCACGAGAGTTAAAAAAGAAACCTCAACTCAAAAGACAGATGTCAGTATCTTCGTTGATTTTGACGTGGTGTAAAGATGTCACGCAAGAATACGAGGTAAGAAGAGGCCGTAGTGCGCTTCAATAGTGTCACTCAAGATACATTGAAGGGGAAAGAAAGGCTTTTTGTAACCGGAAAAGTACCACTACAAAATATTTCAATGTTCATCTCCATTTGAAATCTTGAAGGAGGAGCTAGTCAAACAATCAGACCAGCTTATGTATGTGAACCACCCAGTGTTGTTTACGTCATTAACATGTGCGGCCAGGTTATTGAGTTATTTTCAAAATAGCGGCGTCCATAAAAGAATTTTGCGCATATTTGAAGATAGTTTTTGATCTGATTTTGAACTCTACGGAACATCCGAAGCGGTAAGTTTAAACAAAATAAAACATATGGTGTCTGAAGCGCGCTCAGCTTTCTTTTAAAAGAACAATGAGAAAGTATTCAATGGTGCATTCAAGTCCCAGGTTCTCGCATTTTAGGAAATTTTCAAATTCAAAATTTTCAATCCGTTCTAATATTCTCCATCTTAAGCTATCTGTGTTCCTTCTGGTTTATTACCGCCTCGATTGCGTTTTCTCTATCTCACCGAACTAACATTGTGAAATCTTCAATAACAAGTAATTTTTGTTTGTTGTTTTCCAGGGAGTAAACATTACAAACTTCAGCGGAGCTTTTAGTAATGGTTTAGCGTTTTGTGCTTTGATCCATAAATTTAACCCAGACAAGTTTGACTACAACTCGCTATCCGCTGAAAATAGAGAATACAACTTTAAGCTGGCTTTCGAAACTGGAACGTAAGTTTTAACCTGTTATTCCGTAACATCAGTAAGCATATTCTCCATACTGTTCACTATATATTCCCTAAGGTGCTACACGGAGAATTTGTTCAACAGTCAAAAGCATCTTTAGAAAACTGAAAAGTTCAAGAAAATATTTTAGTGCGAAAGAGGGTTAGCACAAATATTTTATCAAAGAAGTCATCGTGCATAAGAAATGATGTGTGTTTTCGTTCAAGAATGAAAAAAAAATCGCGCTCAATTTTCTTTGTTCCCCCAGAAATTGTCTTAAAAAAGCCTTTTCTGTCGCTAGAATAGATCACTCACCGTGGAACGCACCAATGTTATGATTTCAGGTCGTGCAGCATATGAAAATACTTAAGACATAACATTATTAACTTGGTTGCTTTTTGTCAGTGAACAATTTCGGATCATTAACTTTATTTTTGTCATCCGTCTTGTGTAGTCTTGTCATTTTATTCGCCAAATTCGGGAAAGGGTGCCTTAGTCTTTTATCCAGGCTTCCCGAGATCAAACGGCTTAAGACCTCACGCATTAGCAAGATTTAAAGTGTTTTATAAGCAGCCAATCAGACAGCCGAAAACGCCTAAATGGCGGTGGCCTGCGATCATTATTAGCGCTGTAGGACGCTGGTTTCGCCGCCCGTAGGAAGATTGGAGACAAGTCGGGGAGAGGTTTGCCGAAAGTCTGGCATTAATATCGAGGGCCTACAAGGACGCTATTGTTCTTCTCATTATACGCAATGCTAGATCTCTTGTAAACCTTTCGCCGGTTCGCGTGTCTTAAGGTCGCACAATTTTCCGCGAGCGAAGAAACGCCCTTGCTGAAGCGCTAATAATGAGGAGCTGCTCGCGAGCTATAATCGTGGCTGATTATTTAGTAATCAATTGTTTTTTTGTGTGTGTTTCTTTTTTCAGTTCTGTTGGGATACCTGCTCTCCTCGACGTCGAAGATATGGTTCGTCTCAAAAAACCGGAACCGCGCAGTGTCCAGTGTTACGTTCAAATGATATTTAGTAAATATCGACCAAAAGACATGGACATGTCTAATCTTATTATAGCTTGAATATCATTGTTAGAAATCAGATCAATTGAATTTTGTAAAGCAGTAGGAAGTTATGTGTTATGGAGGTGCGAAAGTTTTTTTTTTTTGTCAACATATCTCGTTCAGTGGACGTTTAGGCTTAATTGTGAATTTCAATCTGCTTTGTAGGAATTTTCTACTGATTTTCTTCTACTAATTTAATTATTTTGGCGTTCGCATTGCACTGGCTATCACTACATTTAAAGCTCGAAAGAAAAACACTCTTTTTACCGCCAATAAAACATGATAGCAGTGTAGACTACTGCTGTTTAAGTAATCTTACAAGTCTTGTACAACTGAACGGTATAAAGGCTCAAATTGAATGATCCGAATTGAACCCAGTTTCTTTACAACTCTTTTGAGCCCCTGAAACTTTGGGGTCTGGGGAAAAAAACAAATTAAGCAACAGAGACATTTATCTGGGTCGAATTTTGGGAAAATATCTATATCATACGAGATAATATTCATTCATTATTAAGATACATGAAGTTTGAAGCTGCCGGGTGCAAATAAGACATCATGTATTTATAGAGTGTACAAGAAACGCCTGTTTGTTTGGCATTTCAAATAATTTGAAAAAATTGATACAGTAGGTTTAGGTAGAGTTATTTTTTCTACAATTGTGCGATTGCGATTTTGTCAAGTAAAGAATTTTATTCAAAAGAATTGACTTTTACCTAAAAGTTGTCATTGTTTTATTGTTAGTTTTTTTATTTTATCTGGGAGTCAATTGTTTTCCGTGTGGGTCAGAATAAGTTGACAAGTGATGGCCAGCTTTCCACGCTTCAAAACAGTGAATCTTATTCACAAAGCCTTCGAGAAGGCTATCACTGGAGCTTCAACGCGAGCGGCGAAGCGTGCGCGTTCTGAGCCGGCACACAATGTGTACGCGCAAGGGGTCCGCGAGGGTGCTGACACTTACATTTCATGTAGCATTTTCGGTACCAAAACCTTAGAACATATCGGTCATACGAAGGGCATGCGCAAGGGGTCAATTTTGGCCAGCCGCACCCAAATTTTCCGTACAAAAATTTCATAGGAAAAGATAACAAACACAACCGCTGTCACGTCAAATACTCGAAAGGAAAGCTCGAGACTTCGCACACAAATCCTATTTACCAACGGTTATCCTGCTAATTAATTTATCATTGTGTTTTGAGCTGTAACGAAAATGTTATACGGTTTACAAACACTGTGACTTCCTCGCTTGTGTGCGGGTTTGTTTATATGACGACTTGTTAGTGACTTCTAAAAATCCTTGAAAGCACGCCACCTAGCCATACATAGCCTCACCGAGCCTAGCACAGTGGCAAAATTAGTGCGCATGCTCGACGGATTTGGCGCGTTCGAGGAGCGTTTAGTGGTTCTAGCGTGAATAAATTTTGTTGAGGAACGAACAGAACATCGTTATATAATTTTTGGGATTGTATACTGATGTGAACCAAGTGGAAAAAATATAACGCAGTTTGTTAATATAGAAAGGACTGAAGAGAAATTAGCGTTCATTTAATTATAGTTCATCAGTCAGTTGTTTTAAATTCATCCCGACAGCTAAAACGAGAGCAGTCGCTACGAACTTTGTAACAATGTTACGGATGCTTTACTTCAATCCCAAATTCACATATGTTACCGCAACATTTTTTTCTTTGAGTGAGATATGTGACCGAGGAGGTTCGACAAGTCCGCCATTTTGCTGCGGCAGTGTTTATAGAAATATTGTCGTAGTCATTTCTATGGGCACATAAAATTGCTCGAGTATTACAAGCATGCACACTAGTTTTGCCGCTGTGAGCCTCTACAACATTCGCTCATGCGCAGATGTTTGACCGCCGTGTTGACCCTTGGAGACCTCTCGAATCTTGCGGGCTTCTCGCTGCCCGCGCGCTAAGTTTAACACAGCGCCGTAAGTAACAGCGTTTATAAGAGAAAGCAAATAAACGAATGATACACGATCCACTTGAATACATCTGTCAACTATGGGCAACGCATATGTACACTCCCTTTTGAAAAGATCATTTGTTGTTAAACTTTTGGATTCCTCTTATATTACTGACTATTGAAATGCACTCACAAATCGACACTAACTCGTTACTTTAAATTGAGTGGGTGGGGGTGAGGGACAGTCATCGTCGGGAAACCAAGGCATGGATTGTAAACAGGTCCTCCGGTAAGGAGAGTGAAGGAATGGATAGTAACGAACAGTACTTCCGTTAGATTAAAATTCAATCATATAATTGTTTTCGTTGATTCTGGAGGGCCGTGTACTTTCGAGGAAAAGAAGTAGAGGAAAAAAGAAAAAAAGTAGAGTCACACTGAGGCTTTGTTCTAAAATATATTCACCCAAACCATGTTTGTACTTTTTTAAATGCAGGAAATAAAAAAAGTAATAAACCAATTAAAACATAGTAGACACAATATGCGCATTACCTGAATCGGAGTTCTTAAAAGTCTTGAGGCATCCACAGTTTTCAAACAAACGTGTTATACTCCAAGACGCTAGTAGTGTATTGCACTCGATCTGCGTGCTTTAGATTTAAGTTTTTACATGGTTATTTTTAAAGTGTTATATACAACTCCAGAAAGTCTATTCGCACTATTCACAGATAAAATGTCGATTATTTATGCTACGGCCTTCGCAGGCGGCTTCAGATTAAAACCACCACCAGTGAACCTTGGTCCATCCGTTCTTTGAGGAGAGAAAGCGGGTCCAGTGGCCTGTTGGTAAGCTCTGTCTCTTTCCCTGAAATGACAACATGACACAGTTTTAGAATGAATTCAAGGCACGAGTGAGAAAGCCTGCAAATAGGGCCCCGAAGCGTTACGACATCAGCAGTGAAGCCTTCGAGATTTGAGCCAGCGAGCGAGGCGTGCGTGCGTGCGAGACGTATGTTAGAGGTTTCTAAACCCTCGCAGACCTCGCACTCGCATCGCTTGCGGGCTCGAAACCAGAGGGCTTCACATCTTGGAAATTGTAAGCTGAATAGGTCATTACATAATTTGCCACTTTTTCGTTTTACTCTAACTCGCCTTTACAGCGATTTTCCACCCTTGCATGCTATTGTTTGACGGGTTTCTTCCAATTAAACACTCAAACTGTCGAGACGTAAGAGCAGCAGTGCGGAACAAAAAGGGAACAGTAAGGGAGGGGAAGCTAAAGTACAGGAGCTTCTCAACAGCTCTGTGAAAACTCGCGCTATCTTCTTTAACAATGAGATACAAAACCAAAACCAATCGCCTAGTTGTTCACGTTTTCCTGCACTTCAGACTGTTTGTTTGTTTGCTTTTTTGGCCATGATTTCTCACTAGCTCCTTGTGATTACTGCTGTTACTCTAATGGGCCATTGAGCTTTCCCAGATCTTCGTTTACGAGACTCAATAGGCCACTTCCTAGTTCTCGCGTTTCAGTGATCTGGTACCGAAATTACGGCTTGAGGACGAGGCTAAGTGCGAAGTCTCTCTCATCGGCATAAAGAATAAAGTGCCGCGGTAGCGAAAATGAGCAAAAGTCTCTCGAAATTCAATATGGGAGAATGGAAAAACTATTTGTTAGAGAGGTATTCAGTGAAGTGATGGCGGCAAAGGAAAAAAAAATACAACTGTTTGATCTATGCAAAAAAGCTGCTGCAATTAAGCAGATCAAAATTGCCTCTTCTACCAAAGACCGCAAAAAACTGTTGGAGGAATAATTTTAAAAAAAATTAATGGGTGGACTACCACTTTTCTAACACTCCAGAGCTCTCGTTCGGCGTCAACATGCAGCCTTGTTTGTTCGCCCAGTTGTTTTGATGGAATCTTAGAAAAGTGGTTCGTCCAAGCTTTAAAAATATTTTTTAGCTGGAATTTGCTCTCACTTTTTTTGAAAATTTCTCCTCTAACAGTTTTTTGCGGTCTTTTGAAACACACTGTAACAGTCAAATAACAAATGCTATTACCTCGCTTGTTGTTCTTTTCTCTTCTGCATGTAAAACTTTTTCTTGACTTCCTGTAGTTCTTTAGCTAGTCTTTCGATCTCGTATTTATATTCTTTCACTTGTGCCTCGTACATGTTCAGTTCAGATGACATTCCTTTCATCTGCTTTGTTTTTTCTTTGAGTGTTTGTTGGTAAATACTGAGTTGTTCAGCCACTTCTGGCCCGGGCTGACGAGCCAGGATTTGTTTAAGTTCCATGTACAACTTTTCTTTTTCTTGGATAAGGAGTTCTTTTTCCACCACCTGAGAAGATTTGGCAAGTATTTTAGCATCATGTAAAATCTTAGGTAATAAGTCCAGGGGTGAAATATCTAGCGTAGGGCTTTCGTTTCGGAGAGGTGTAAAAGCCAATGAACTCCTAAGAAATAGCTGTTTGTTTTCAGAAGGGTCGAGAGAGGAAGTTGCTTTTTGCGCCAAATCCGCGGCTTTTTTGTTTGTTGTTGTCTCAAACTTCAGAGCAAATTTTATTTGGCTTTCAAACACAACTCAGTAGAACATTTATTTGCTTTAGTTCACTATGTCGTTGGTCGAGTATAAAAGATGTGCCAGTCTCTAAATCAACCAGATGCAAAATTAAAACCAATTACACTTTTCAGCGTTTCAGACAGTTAACTTGTTTTAACTCTGGTTAACTGGTCCTCTGCGATACTTCTCTTTGTTCTTACTGGGCGAGATGTTCACTTTCGTTGTACTTGTATAACACTCTACCAAAAAGCACCTAATCACGTCGAAGAGAGCGCCATTAAACATCAGTACGTATCAGGATGCACGCGCAACAGAATAACATTACACTGACTAACCTCTTCAGTTTTCTGTATAAGTCGTCTTTGTAGAGTTTGTATCTTTTGAATCATTTCGTACGTACTCGGATCACTTCCCTGTGGAAATAAAAGGTAATTGTTCAATGATCTTGCTTTCAAATGTAACTAAATTCACCAACAGAGCAATCGTCAATTGAATATCGAAAGTCATCGAGGATCTGCATTGGTTTTGCTTTACTTCGCTCTGTGATTGGTTCAGAAAACTGCGACACTCTCTCAATCAATCACGGCTTGGTCGCCCGCACTTTCCCGCGCTCTGGACAGTGCACTTGTTTTCACTCCGAGTTCTCATTGGCTCTTAAAGATATTTTCCTTTCTTCTGATTTGCGGTTGTAATTACTTTGGTTTCGGTTTTTCGACACTAAATCGAAAAGTGCTCTATCTTTAAATTACCTCAAGTTTTCTCCATCTGTGAATGTTCATCGGATTTTCGAGTTCTTCTTCCAAAGCCTTGCATCGGGTTCGTTCTCTGAGAAGCTCACGCTGGGTATGATACACCTCACGCCTAAACGAAACCAAAATCATACAAACATCAAGTTTTCAACAGATGTTTCTTCGAGCACCTTAGATTTCTCACTCATGATTCGTCGATTTCCAGAAAAACGGGAAAAGATATTCTTACCTTAAATCTTCTACGTTGGCTACACTCTTTGTAAGGATGTTTTTCTCGCGGCGAAGTTTCTTAATTTCAAGTTTTAACAATCGGATGTCTTCCAACCTCTGGCGGTACTGAATTTCGCCTGTGTAAAACAATACGAGACGTCAACCGTTGTTAACTAAGGGTAAGGCAAGGGTAGGAAACAAAGTAAATATAAAAACTGTTTGCAAATCAATTATGTCAAAACAATTTTTTCCTCTACACCCGGGTAAAAGTTGTCGCCTTTTGAAGACC